TTTCAGTGGAAAGCAACGCGAGACAGTCGTTCGTTCCCTTGCCCCTACGGAAACCAAATTGAGTATCTGAGAGTAGGTGGTTCAACTCAACCCATTTGTCCAGGCGAAAAAGGATCATTTTCTCCAACAATTTTCGAATACACGATAACATCGCAATGGGACGATACGAATTGTGATCTGACGCGGGTTTTCCAGGCTTTTTAATGGCTATAACTCTCACCCGCCTCCAATCATCCGGAACAATATTAAGCTCCAGGAACTGACCAAACAAGTTCAACATGCGCCTCTTAGCGACGTCTGGGAGGTTCTTCAACAAGTTGAACTTGATTCTATCAGCCCCCGGAGCCGAATTGCCACACGAAAGGAGTGCGAGTGAGAGCTCCAGCATTGAAAAAGGCTGGCTGATCTCGTCTACCGAATTCGTCGTTTCGCGAGGAATCATCTGTGCCGGCACAGAATCAGGACATACTTTTCGCGCGAACTTGAGAATCCAACTATCGGAGTACTCCTCGCTCTCGTTGTTTGAAGACCGGTTACGCATCCTTCGCGCCGCATTCCAAAGCGTATTCATCGACGTTTCGCGCGATAATCCGTCCACAAATTGCCGCCAGTATCCGCGTTTCTTGGCTTTGATGAGGCTCTTGAGTTCGCGTTCAAGATCCGAGTACGCTTCGAAATGTACGGGTGTTCCACGTTTCCGGAAAAGCTTAAACGCGTCGGACTTTTTACGATAAACCTCAGTGCATTGCTGGTCCCACCAAGGGGAAGGAGGTTTCCTACGGAAAGACGTTCCAGGAACCGGCCGAGTTTGAGCTTGAAGCGCGCTGTCCAAGATCAGATTGGAGAGGAAGTTATATTCCTCCAACGGTGGAAGCCCTTCTACCGACGTTAGGGCATCTTCTATCACATTCTTGAACTTTGTCCAATCGATATTACGGGTAAGATCGTACGCGACGTTAACGGGTTCCGACGGATTGAACCCACTGGCAACTGAAACTTTGATCGGCAAGTGATCACTACCGTGGGGATCTTGGATCACATTCCACGTGCAATCCAACGATAATGAGTTAGAGCAAAGTGTGAGGTCTAGTTTCTCCCCGCGTTGTTTGTACGCCGGGCATGATGAGAGACCATGAGGAGTTCCCTTACAGTACACGCATTTTGGTGCAGTGACTGTGCAGGCGCCATCCTCGTGCTTCTCCCCGCATTTGGAACAGCGTGCCTTGCTGCCACAGTGAGAGGCCGTATGTCCCAACTGTTTGCAGTTTTGGCAGTTCATGACCCGAGGAACGAACAAACGCACAGGTAGCCGAAGTTTTCCCAACTCGATGTAGTGAGGAAGGGCTGAACCAGAAAAGGTCACCCGAAACGAGTCTGTGGGGGTAAAGCTCTTTTTACCCTCGCTGAAAGATACTGAGTTCAGCTTCTGGACTTCCAGTATCTCAACCGTGGGAAGCAAGGGGTTCTTGAAACGGCCAACCGCTTGCTTCGCCAAGATCTCGGGGGTCAGACTCGCTTCGGTGACCACACCTTCGATCTCCACATTACGAGCTGGGATGTACACTCTATACTCGAGTGTAAAGAGCTGGGAGGCAGCAATCTCGTTAGCTTGTTTTAGGTTAGAGACGACAACGCGAAGTTTATTGTACCTCACCTTCGAGATTTCGGTCACGGCCGAGAACCGCTTCGTCAGATCATTAGTAATTTGCATTACATTCAAGGGTTTCTTTTTGGGCTGAAAGTAAACAACCCATGGGCCAGTCGAGTCTTCTGGGTAGGCTCGCGATCGGGGGCTTATCTGTCCCTGTCCATTACCAGACTGAGATGACGAAGCAGGGATGGCATCATCTGATTTCTGGGATGACAGACGTTTTCGACCCTTTTTGCTATCGCGTGGCAAAGTGGTGTCGTCTTCCGACAAAACGTCCATTTCGTCTTCCGACAAAATGTCCATTTTGCCGTACTAGTGGGAGCGAAAAACGCTCTACCACTGCAACGATAATCAAAATTACTCGGACACAATACACGAAGAAAAAAAATACTAACACAGAAACACAAACTTAAAATTTAACAGATTGGAGAAAGAAAGAAACAAGAACAAAAAATTATCTGATAATCCTATACTACTATCACCGAGCGTTTACACAGCAGCGGAGCGACGCGCAGCTTTGATGATCTTCGATCCGCGTGTGCGGGCGGTCTTCGTTGGTGTGTGCTTGTATGAAGCTCGGCACTCAGCTGAACACACGATGATGGATGAGCGGTTTGAATGTGGAGGCAGATGCTGACACTTGATGACGATGATCCGTGTGCACAGGTATGCGTGACCACGCACCGATGGTGCGCAAAATGATTGGCGAATTGCCAATCGCAAAAACAATTTTCGATGATTCCGAAAACACACTTTCTTCTCAGAAAAAAAACTCACTTTTTGATAAATTTATCCGGAATTATGCCAGGAATCACTAAGCGAGAAAAACTGATTATTTACGTCAGATAATAGCGAGAAAACTTCCAAATTAACGGAGCGCGAAACAAGTCGACCGTACTTCTTGCTAGGACGCGGTGGTGTGATTGAGGCGGCTGTTGTTATTTTTCCTGAAATTCTGGCGTCAATAATATATCTAATATATCCTTATTAGAGAGTTGTATAGATTTTTCTCCTTTAGCTTACCTTAATCTTTGGTTTTTATTAGTTAGGTAGGTTCCGATTCAACACATTGTAGTTTCATTTTTATACCTATGATCTTGGCTTTTTTACCTAGGGGATGAGTAGTTAAGGGGGTTAGATTTTGATAAGTTCTTTAGTGGGAACATTAGTAGACTGCACATTGAAGTCGAAATACGTATCTGTCATGGATACCAAAATTAATTAAGTGGAATTAAATGGATGATAACCTTTTTTGCTGTTTTATTTAGCATTCCGCTAACAACCCAATTTCATTACTTCATCTCTCTTTTATGGTTATTTTTATTTGGGGACCCAGTAGCTCTTTACTCATATTGAGCTTTCTGACGTTTATAACACGCACACTTGCGTAATCCCATTTCCAAGTGAGAAGTTTGTTATCTTCACTTTCGCTCCAGCCAATTTATGTGATAAATAAAATAATAGGGGAAATGTATGTAATGTCGGCCTAAGTGTCCCTAATTTGTGCCCATACATAAATTCAGCAATCGACTAAATTTTCAATAGAAACCAACCAACCGTCCCAATGACGCGTTCATCTAGATACAATTGATAAATAGCAGATTTTTAGCGATGGGCCCAATCTTAGATACATAGTCCAACATTAGAGCCATTTCCCCTATATAATTTAATATATAATCAAAAATTATTAAAATTCAATCGAAAAAGTTTAAAATTCAACCAAAGATATTTAAAATAGAACAAAAAATGCTTAAAATATATTAAAACCAGATAACTTTCAATTCAATCAACCAAACTGGGATTGATATCGAATGATTATTTTTTTAGCAAGAGATAGGTAATTACTTTTTAATCATTCGATTTGATTAAACTGAGTTTAATGTCAAATTGATTAGATTTTAGGCAAAATGAGAATAGTTTAATTTATCAGTGTATTATATCTCGCCCTAACTCGATGATCCCTTCAATATCAATGTAGAGCTGCATCTTATTGTATATAAAATATTCATTATTTTCACTGCAGAATATCAACTAATTTATCCATATACATTTATTTTCATTATTTCAAATTTAATGTTCTGATATATTTCATTTCTCCATTACATACATTTTCAATATATAAATAAATACTGGGTTGAGATGGTATGATTGACATCCTGAGTCTAGGAGGGAATAAACACTATCATTTTCTTTATCCTACCGATTCGATTGTGATGGTGTGAATTCCACTCCAACAGTTTCAGTGAGATTGACGCGCCGTTTTTTACAAACCTATAGGTTTACATGTTACATGTATACATGAAGCTTAATAATTATTGCGAATTGCGTTATTCGATTTGTTGGATCGTATCGTTGGAAGGAGATTATTAAATACCCGTGGATTTCGCGTAAATGCCTCTGCTTACGGGCCACCCGAGCAAAGTCCAGCATTAAAATGACAGCAAATTGAAATCAAGTTTTGATATCAACATCAAACTGAAATCATAATTTGATTTCAGTTTACCCAATGGACAAATTTGATACCAAATTTTGGTTTCATTTTGCTGTACATTTGCTCTTCAAAAAAATATGTTGTTGCGGGTTTGTTTTCATTGTCTTAGCATAACATCAAATTGAATACTTGTTTTGTAATCAACAGGAATAATTGATATCAAATTTAGTTTTCAGTTTGCTTTCACTAATAGCAGAAATAGTTTTCAATGTGATGTCTCAGGAAGATTTGTTTGATCTCAATTTTGATATTTTAACCGTTAAACGGTCAAAACGACAGCAACTTGAGTAATCATTGTTAGCGAAATCAAATCAAATTTAGATTTCAATTTGATCTCAGACTTTGCTCGGGCACCCCTCCGTTTTTGGCCCTTCATACAGCCATGCGAAGGGATGGTGGCTACCTTTCATTCATATATACATACATACATACATACATACATACATACATACATACATACATACATACATACATACATACACATACTTCGCTTGTCATCTTATTAACACAAGGCTTTTGATTTCAGTTCATCATTTAATTTTAATTTGACCACCAAATCGTGCTTATTGAACATTCATCTTTACCTCGTGTATTGATTATCAAAGATAATGTTTAAAAAACGATTCCCGTATGACGGAGAGGGCTGTCAGTGTTACCAGAATGATGAAACATAACCGGTTGTATCTCGAGTATGTATTTTCGGGTTGTTTTATTAAGTTCACTTTAATAACGCATGGCTCCTTATATCCTTTAACAACAACAAAAAAAAAATAAGTTTTTTTTGCTAACCTTGGCAAGGGTAATGTAAAAGAAATACTATAAAATAGAAGCATCATATATTCTTACTATTATAAACAGATTCCGGGAATGGCTGGCGTTAGATCTCACACTACGTCGATTTTATCTCGTTTAAAAGGATTTGCTGGAAAAGTGGCTAGACGTGTTGTGGTAGAAGAGAAGTACTTTCCTCCGCGGTCTCATCGATTCACTGCAGTTTACAGTCGCGATAAGTGCAGTTTACAGTCGCGATAAGGAATACCTGTGAGTTAACTGTTCACCTGAAGTAGAAGCTTTGGTAATAGAAATACATTTGTCTTTTAATTAGATTTGATTTGAAACAAGCTTGTTTTTTCACCGCTGCGATCCGGTCTCGTATTGTGCAATTTATCCTAGACCGAAAGCGTTTTTTAAACGACTCAAATAATGATTATGCTTTTGGAATAGAGCGGTTAATTACTGACGATGTATACATTGCTGCATATCCATTGCATGATGTAAGTATTAGAAAGTATTCTTCTCATATTTAAAGCCTTATGTTCATTCTCGTCAAATGAATAGGAAGAGTTGATTGACAGTTTTTAACACATTTTTCAGGGTGAAATTAACGTTCATGGTAGTATGCGACATTTACTCTACACAAAATGGGCAGCCGTTTCAAAATGGTATCGGTACCAGCCATTAGATTATGTAAAGGAATATTTTGGTGTAAAAATAGGGCTTTATTTTGCATGGCTTGGATACTACACATACATGTTACTGCTGGCGTCCATTGTTGGTATAATGTGTTTCATATATTCATGGAAAACATTAAAATATAATACTCCTAGGTAATTTTTTTCAATATGCACAATAGTGTTTGTTTTTTATTATAATTATTATTACCTGCAATCTTGTCTCTCTTTTTCAGTAAAGAAATTTGTTCCAAAGAAAACATCATCAATATGTGTCCACTCTGTGATCACTGGTGCGATTATTGGGAATTGAGTGAAACATGTTTGCACGCGCGCGTAACTTATTTATTTGACAATCCAACAACGGTCCTGTTCGCCATTTTTATGTCATTTTGGGGTAAGTATTAAGATATCAATTAAGGGGCTATTCATAAACTACCTAAACTGTTTAGTGGAGACCCTCCCTCTCCTCTGGGTTGGCGATTGTGTACGATGCATATATATTAAACAAATATTATATGGACAATTGTCTACATTAAAAAAACTCTACGTATATGAATAGCCCCTAACCACTTTATTCGCAGTGGAAAATGACGTTAACTACCACTCGGACTTTTGAGAAAAGTAGCCAGTTTGATGAAAACGCTGACAGCTTGATAAACTTTTTTGTCGTGACAGTATGTTTTGTATAAATGGATAAATACATAACACAAGGGAGGGTAAAACGGGTAAAACATTCGTGACATTTGTTGACGTCATATTTGAATCCCCCCTAATTAGTCATTTTTTTAAGCTGCTCTATTTCTCGAACTTTGGAAACGATACTCTGCCGAAATAACCCACAGATGGGATTTGACCGGATTTGATATACACGAGGAACACCCTCGTCCACAATATTTAGCCCGATTGGCTCATGTACGAAGGAAGAAAATCAATGCAGTCACCAACACCGAAGAGCCTCAAGTTCCCTACTGGCGAATGAAGTTACCTGCAACGATACTCAGTTTTTCTGTTGTGTTATTACTAGTAGGTTTATACTAATAAATTGCAAGTCATCAATTTAGTGACCATTTTTTCAGGTATGTCTTGCTATAGTTGCCGTTTTAGCAGTAGTTCTATACAGAATGTCAGTACTTGCCACGTTAAGCGTTTACGGAGATGAAGTAACTACCTCTGCGGCCATTCTTTTCACTACTGCAACCGCTGCCACGATAAACCTATGTTTAATAGTTGTGTTTAATTGGATGTATACATACTTGGCTGAATGGCTTACGGAACGAGAGCTGCTCAGAACACAGACCGAGTTTGACGATTCATTAACATTGAAGATCTATTTGCTTCAATTTGTAAACTATTACGCCTCTATATTTTACATAGCATTTTTCAAAGGAAAATTTATTGGTTATCCTGGAAACTACAATAGATTCTTCAATTTCAGACAAGAAGAAGTAGAATAATCTACATTATGTGCTAGAAACACCAACTTATCAATCGTTATTTCTTTCAGTGTGGTTTTGGGGGTTGTTTGATGGAGTTATGCATACAACTTGGAATTATAATGATTGGCAAGCAAGCAGTAAATACTGCTCTTGAAATGGCAATTCCTCTATTTTACAGATGGCACAATTCATTAAAAGTTCGTATTGGAAAACAACGTAACCAGTCTTTGAAAAGCAAAGGTCAACGTTTTGTTAAGGATCTCAAATTAGTGGAGTGGGGCTCCCGAGGTTTATTTCCCGAGTACTTAGAAATGGGTAGATAGATGGAAACTATATTTCTCCCAGTATTTTACTAACATGCTTCTTTTTATAGTTTTACAGTACGGATTTGTAACTATCTTTGTGGCTGCATTTCCCTTGGCTCCACTCTTTGCGCTTTTGAATAACATTCTTGAAATGCGCCTCGATGCAAAAAAACTGCTGACATTTTACCGAAGGCCTGTATCACAAAGGGTGCGCGATATAGGAATTTGGTATCGAATTTTAGATAGTATTGGAAAACTGAGTGTAATTACTAATGTGAGTATGCTTATTCTTTCTGATAATGTCTTTAGCAATAGATGACTCATGACAGTAAAACATATATTTCAGGGATTCATAATTGCATTTACGTCAGATTTTATTCCCAAGTTAATCTACCGTCTTTCAGTTTCTTCTGACGGGTCTCTTAACGGGTATTTGAATTACACTTTGGCGTATTTCAATACCAGTGATTTTCAAAAAGGAAGCGCTCCTTTTCAATCTCATTATAATGTAACCATCTGCCGCTATCCGGATTTTCGAGCACCGCCATGGTCAAATGCACCCTATGAGAAAACAACCATGTACTGGCTCATTATGACAGCACGTCTTGCATTTGTCGTTATATTTGAGGTAAACCATTGGTCAGAATAACTATTTCTTAAGATTTTACACAGGATCCTTTCAGAATATTGTCGCCATTGTCATGATACTGGTTCGTTGGTGTATACCGGATATGTCACAGGAGCTTCGTGATCAAATTCGTCGAGAAGCTTATATTACTAACGAAATTATTATAAAGCAAGAAACTCTGCGTGCTAGAATGGGTAGTACTCTACAAACATTTTATCTGGAAGTTTTTACTTCATGTCATGTTATTATTTTAGATCGTGAAGGTGATGCCGCGCCGGACGAGTTTAGTCCACCTAAATCCCGAAAACCGAAAGAAACCGAAAACGATTCATTTATTCAGTTGGAGCGGCTTATATCTTCGAATCTTTCTGGATCACAACTAGATCTTTTTATTCATAGTGAACGTGAAGACCAAACGAAAACTAAGAAAGACAAAGTGTTATCTAAATTGCTGTGAACTAGTTTCAAACAGGGTTGCTTCCACTACCTTGCTATATTTTTTTTTCGGCATTATGAAATCATTAGATGATATTTTGTATGTTACACACTTAGAAATTATTACCGTATTCGGTAATTGTTTACCGAACTTTCAACAGCTGAACGTTCGGTAATCTAAACGATTACCGAACGATCGGTAAACAGATTTTTTGATGAGCTGTCAAAATTACCGAACAATTCGGTAATTATTTACCGAACTATTCAGTAATTTTTTACTGAACTGTCCCGTAAATGAAAATTTGTTGATATTGTGTATGTTTTGTTTTTTTTTTCCGGTGAATTAAAATCTAAAGCTATTTTTGCATTACAATTAACGAGATTTTATTCAATAGTAAACATCTAGGTAACAATATATTTTAAAATAACATATATTGCTCGCTGGAGTATTCTTTTCGCAGGTGGCTACCATGGGGATGCCAGTCAAGAAACATTGACTGGAACCTGATCCCGAAAGCACAGAATTCCTGGCTGTGTCTGAAGAGCAATCATAAAAATGAAAGAAATACATGTAATTATCAATCTCATTAGGAATATTTAATAGATGCATTATTCATCTGTATTTGCGAACATACTTATATTGTTTTCACTGGATTTTTCTATCACTTTCCACTGTTACTGTTTACTTTAACACTTGAAATAAATATGACCGTCTTTCGATTGACAGTCTGGAATTATTTACAGAAGTTCGGTAAACGTTTCTGTAATTTGCAGTTTGTTCCGTATTTTTTAACCGAATTCGGCGTTTGCTTTGTTTTACAGTTCTTACTGTACTCTTTTTAACGAAGTTCGTCAATATAAAAGACAGATTACCGTCACTTCGGTAAAACATTACCGAACGTTGGTAAAATTATTTTTGTTTACCGAAAAATCTGTAACATTCTTCATTTACCGATTTTTTTCGGTAAAAAATTACCGAACAAGGAAAACGTTGCTGAGTGTGTACAAGGAGAGGTATGTGTTTGATTCATAAAACCTGTCAATTTCATTCAGCGATTTATGATTCATGAGCGTTCACTCAGAGTGAGCGCTCACGAATCGTAAAATCGCTTGTGACACTATGAAAGCAATAGCAACATATTTTATGTGTAAAACAGGTACTTCACAACCTCTCCTTGTATCTTACAAGTATTATTTATCATTATAACATCCAATGATTTCATAATTCTGAGAATCAAATTTTTATAGCATGTGAGTGAAATTACCCCGAGTTTCAAAAATATAGGAATACAGCAGTTCCATTTCAAATGATGATTTTTTTTTTAATTTTTTGATCGACCTTCTACGATTATGTTGAAACTTTGCACAGTTGTTTGTTATTGTCCAACATGCCATTTTACATATTTGGTTCCCTAGTTTTGTACACGACTTATACTTGAAAAGGGCTTATGCAAAAATGATACGCATCAATAGAAAAACATATATCTCTCGAACGATTCCTTTGATTGAGATGCTGTCTTGGGCGAAGTTGCGGACAAGTATTGTACCTTTCAAGAAAAAATATACACTGTAAAGAACTATTTTGATATTAAAAAAAAAAACAAAATTATAAAAAAAAATTTAAATTACTCAAATAGCATTTTTTTTAATATTTATATTGTAGTTTAGATAAAGTTCTACTTATTGACAATGTGCGTTTGCTGGGCAACTCATAAACAAAAAAGTTATGAATTATTGAAAAAGTACTATTTTCCAAAATACTACTTACAGTTATCGAATATCTTTGAAATGGTGTTATTATTATAACACATTAAATTTACAACAAAAAAGCTCATAATGCTTAAATTGCCCAAAGTTGTTATTTTCGAGATACTCGTAGGTTAAAATTCACTTATTGCATAATTTGAGCAATTATCACCCTTTTGAAATGTTGTTCTTGAAAATATTTTTAACGAAAAGCCCAATCAAATTCCTTAAACTTTGCAGTTCACAGTTTCAATCAGACGCATGAGTTAAGATATAATTAATTATGAGTAAGAATGGGAAAAGGCTTCCTATTTGGCCCCTTATACGGCTAGCTAGTTTCGAAGACCACGGTGGTATAGAAAACAACCATAAGAAGTGTTTGACAGCCTTTTCGGATCATTGTTAGTGCCGTAGCTACACAATAGGAACGGGCAAAGCGGACAGGCCCCCTCAAGAATTGTCCAAGACCACCCACCTCAGATTTTTTTTTTAGTTTTTTGCTCATATTGCGGTTCGTAGCATAACTAGTTTTGACAATAAACCTTATTTTTCAATATGTCGCAACAACCCCACCTGCGTTACTTTTTCAAAAGACTTATCTGCTTTTGTAAACAATGCGTTCGATCGTCGATTTGTCGTAACTGGGAGCTCGTCCACGCATACTAACACCACTATCAGATAGGGGAAACCATCCCCAATTTAATAGTGGTGTTAGTGTGCATGGGTGAGTTCCCAGTTGCGCCAAATCGAGTATCCGAGATTTGTAATATCATTCGCAAATTATGGCATTTATTTTATAAATAAAAATGTAATAAATAAGATAGTCTTCTTATGTATTTATTCAGTTCACATTATATACATTAATACTTAATACGTCTATTTAAACAAATTAAAAACCTTTGCATTATGATCTGAACAGTTTGAGAACAATTTTGCTTTAATTTTATTTTCAGATATAGGAATAAATGAGTGAAATTTTTGCGTTCCTTGGATTGTTCTTGCTTTACAATATTGTTTATTAAGCTCTGCCACCATAGTTTTATATTCTTCTGATGTTACAAAACCAAATGATAAACTCGTCAACTCTTCCTCCTTTCGATTATTTGCCCAGTTAGGTATATAATTCTTTGACATTTTTAATTGGATGTTCACGTTCTCTGGCTTAACTGGCTCGTGTAGCCATGCGCTTTATCGTACCTCCAATACCATCACACGGTCCTTTGCCATAGGATGTCGCAAAGAAATGCCATTCAGCTTCAATTTCATACATAGACTTGAACTTGCAGAGACTAGAAAATTCTTACGGTTTTTGTACTGTGAAGCAGCTCCGTCAGACATAAAATAAATCTTCTTCACTATTTTTCTCTGATCTGTACGTAAAAAAGTAATCATTTTGGAAATAAACAGGTTAACAGCTACTGCATCATGTGTCAACTCTTCTGAGATAATTATGAAACTAAAATGAAGCACTTGCGAGTTTTCTTTATAGTATATAACGAATGGATGTATAGTAGCTTGTTGTACATTCCAATGATGAGATAGTACTTCATCCTGCAGTACAAAGGAGTAATTTTCAGAAAAATCACAAATGACTAAAAATTCCCCTACTTGCAAATTGTTTTTCGTTGTTTTTAAGAATTTAGATTGTTCTGTTTTAATGAAATCGTGCGGTATCAATTTGAGTAATTTTTCAGTTTGTATATCACATCTTATATTTTCAAAGAAAGGAAAACCCCTTGATCCATTAAGAAGTTTTTCTCTTCTTTTTATATACGCTAAAGCAGATTCCGGGAGTGATTATATAATAAACAAAAATAGTCAATCCAATAAATACATGGAATGCTTTTCTGGGTACATTCTGGGGAATGCTTTACTGGGGAATGGTACATTCTGGGGAATGGTACATTCTGGGGAATGGTTTTCTGGAGAATGGTTTTCTGGGAAATGTTATAAAATCGGCTAGGTATCAATGAAGAATTAGATGGTACCTAAGTATGCAATTAGGTACCAGACATTCAGTGGCTTGATTTTCCACGCTTGTTGTATAGAGACTTGTGCGTCTGATTGAAAAACTGTGAAGTGCAAAGTTTAAGGAAATGGATTGGGCTTTTCGATAAAAATATTTTCAAGGTTAAACACTCACGAACAATATCTCAAAAGGGTGAAAATTGTTCAAATTTCGCGATAAGTGAATTTTAACCTACGAGTATCTCGAAAATAACAACTATGGGCAATTTAAGCATTATGAGCTTTTTTGTTGTAAATTTAATGTGTTTTAATAACAACACCATTTCAAAGATATTCGATAACTGTAGGTAGTCTTTTTAAAAATAGTACTTTTTCAATAATTCATAACTGTTTTGTTTTTGAGTTGCCCAGCAAACGCACATTGTCAATAAGTAGCACTTTATCCGAACTACAATATAAATAAAATAAAATAAAAAAATATATGCAATTTGAGCAATTTTTTTTATAATTGACCAATTCCTCGCCAAATCGGTCAGTCACCAAACTTGACTATCTTCGATCTGGATGATAGTTGGCACATATTTTCAGTATGATAGACCAAGTATTTTCCGCAGGAGAGGAGACCCTTTTGACTCAAGGGTAATTTTTGAAAAGGACCTATGTGTTTTTGCACACATACTTTAAAAAAAATGTAGTTCGAAAACAGTTGGTTGTAGAAAAAAAAATACTCAGAAGAAATTGTAGGAAACTAATAAGGCTTAATAAAAAAAATATACACGGAATTTTTTTTTTCGTTTTTTTACAAAAAAAAAATTAAAATAAACCTCAAAATTCAAATAACAAAAAAAAAGTATTTTTGATTTTTTTTTTATATTTTTTTAATAAAAACTTGAATAGAAAGCAAAAGTTTTGAAAACAACTCCAGGATGGACAAACTTTTAATAAAAAAGTTTTCCTAAGAGCAACTTTTAAGGCATTTTTGAAACTTTCATTATTTACGGCAAAATGTTCAGTTTGATGTCAGTATATGATTATAAAAATCATTTCAAACGATAGTGCTCATATCGATAAACTTCCTAAATGTAACCGTTTTCGAGATATTTCAAATTTACTTTCATCATAATCAATTTTTTGTAGAAAATATGCCCTTTTCGTAAGTTATACGTGATTGTCCATCAAATATGATAAGTTTTGCTAGATATGCATGTACTTACCTTCAACTTACCCTTCCACCAATAGAATAAAGGAAAATTGGTTTTAAACTTATAAGATAAATAAGATAAATAAATGAAATATCCATGCGTTTTTATTTGCATCTTACATTTATTACTTTCGATCGTCTTTAATAATAATAATTTGTACACAAACCTTTTCGTTGGATATATTTTTATTTGATGAACTTTTGATTGGTATGTTTTTATATGTTATGAATGGTGCGTTCTTCGTCATTCGAAAATAGTTTCGCTGATATTTTATTTTCGGAAATCGGAATTTTCTTATACCTGGGATCGTTTTGGCCTTTTCAAAAATGCTTTTCCATTCTGCAGCCCCCTGTTCGTATTCCTTTTGTGACACAAAACAAAATGACATTTTTGTTAAATAATCATTACTCTTCTGGTTAGCCCATGCATATAGCTCTGCTGCACTTATGATTGGATGTTCGTGTTCTACAGCCACACTTGCGTTCCTTGCCATTCGTTTTAATGTGCCACCAATCACGTCACATGGTCCCTTGCCATGCGAAGTGCCATTCAACATCAATATTGTACTTCGTTTTAAATTTACAAAGACTTGCAAAATTTTTGCAATTTTTATATTGGGATGCAGCTTCATCAGACATAAACATCGCTTTTTTTACTTGTATTTTTGTTTGCAAAAAGGTCAGTAATTTTGAAATAAATACTTGCACCGCAATTGTATCGTGTTTTAAAACTTCAGAGATTACGATCAAACTTAAAT